CACTTGTTTCATGCTCAATGGCAATGTTACGTGTTTTTGAAATCATAAAGAGCTGTTAGGGAAGTAGAGGTCCATACTGTGATGAATTTGCTTCAATCTTCCTGTTTGAGCTACAGACAAGGAACTATTCATCAACAGTGTGCCAAATGGGATGCTACATAACTCACTAAAAATTCTTGCGGTCCCAAATAATCTTCAACGTGATCACCATGCCATGGAAACATTTGTGGGAAGTAAACATCATCATAATGTCACGAGAAATCACAGAAAGATAGAACACTGTTTGCTGCCACGATTAACGATGTATTTTGACAATGTTAGTAGCGATAATGAAGGAGATGTGAATACCTTTTTTTGATACTCTACACTGCTGCTGCTGCCGCTGCTGCTGCTGCTGCTGCTGCTGCTGCTGCTGCTGCTGTTGCTGCTGTTGCTGCTGCTACTAATAATACTACTACTGCTGCTGCTGTTACTGCTACTGCTTTCACTATTGGGAAATGTCATGTTTCACTTTGTAACTGCCACACGATTTTTGTCCCGAAAATGCGAAGTCTCAATAATATGCTCAATGAGTCAATAAGTTGATGTCTGTTTCTTCTAAAAACATGACAGAAGTACTATAATACAAGTTTTAATTCTCAGTAGGTGTGCATATTATTTTTAAGAAACAAATTGTCCTTTTTCTGCACACTCCTTTTTATATTTTGTCCTGTGACGTTTAAGACTACAGTATTTAGCTAATGTTGCTTCCGAAAACACTTATCGATTTTGTTCATATTTGCTGAAACTACAGCATTGAATTACCCATTTTATACCAATACTCTTTTAAAGCTCTACTTGAATTAGTATTTTTGTAAATAAAAGTCTAGTTTTCTATTTGAAAAATGATTTTTGCAAGGTAACGTTAAAGACATTATGATTGTTTGATAAGCATTTTCTTCTTTATGATATGTTTTGAAATTTGTGTGAAGAAACAATTTATTTAAAGGACATAATGCTACCCCAATCAATTTTTCTTTCCCTCTGTAACATTTCATGTTTTGACCCATATTGTTGTGTCCTGTAACGTTTAAGACCATAGCGCACTAGTCTAAACTTCACTTCCGTTTCCAAAGAAACCAAGCAAGCTTTAGCTTCATCCGTGTAGGGATTAAAACTAGACATGTCAAAGATGTACTGAGTACATTTTCAAGTTATTTGGTTGAATTTTAAAATTTGATACCCGTGTTACGGAAAGTTCAAACTTTCAGGAGAATTGCCCATATATATATATATATATATATATATATATATATATATATATATATATATATATTGTTTTATTGCAGATTTTCTTGGGGGAGGGGGGGGGGTGTCAGAAAGAGCTGTGGAAAGGATAAAGTTCATTATTTAAATAATTAATATCGGTCAATAATAATTTTTTTTAATCACCAAGGTTCTTTCAAAACTTAGACATTTCAGGCAGCATGCAAAACAAGTAAAAAGCAGGACTTTGAGCAGTCACAATTCCCCAACCCCCCCCCCCCCCTTTCCCCCAACACACACACATCGCCTTTAATTTTTTCACCTAGTTTTCACTATTTGCAAGCACACATTTACTCCACAAACAATTTTTTTCTGCGGTCTCTCAATGTTGTTCGTCACCTGTGCGTGTATCAGTTTCCCAACCTGCGAGAACTGATCAGGCAGAGAGGTGGGGAGCGACCATTATCGTGCCGTCTCTGTCAACAACTAAGCGACAAAACAACGGACCGTACATGGAATGGGTGTAGAGAGCTGTGGCTTCTGTATTATATTGCATGCAAGCGGTGACAGATTCCTTCACATGCATTCAGCTCTTCGTCTGTCCCATGCGACACTAGTGCTCTCGGATGCAATTTTTTTCTCCCCATGGTTTGCTCTTGACCTATGCCTGACCCCGCCATCAAGGATTGTGTGTGTGTGGGAGGGGGGGGGGTGTCTGGAATTGCAGTAAGGGTTTGGTGGACACGGTGGCCTTGAGTGTGGCCGACAGGCTGATGTGATATTGATTGATTGATTGTAAGGAGAAGGATGCGACTGCCCTGGGATAGGGTGGGAGAAAGAGGGGGGGGGGGGC